AATTAGCATATTCCCTCCTTATTGGCTGTGGGCACCACCATCTTTGAGGGTAGGGCAGTCAATTAGCATATTCCCTCCTTATTGGCTGTGGGCACCACCATCTTTGAGGGCAGGGCAGTCAATTAGCATATTCCCTCCTTATTCGATAGGATTGCCTTCCCTACCCTGCCAAGGGAACAGGCACTGTTCACTTCTCTAACCTGAGCACTTTGATTGGAGCTCACGCATAGTAAGGTCTCAATAAACATATGCCAAACAAATCAATGAAGTGCAGTGTACTCTGGGGCAATTTACCTCTTTTTTTGGTAAATCCTCACTGGAGGATACTTTTCCCATTGATATTTAGAGAGAGTGAAAGGGAAGGAGCGGGGGAGAGAGTGAAAAACATCAATGCGAGAGAGATACATCAATTGGTTGCCTTCCACATGTGCCCCGATCAGGGCTGGGGATTGAACCTGCAACCCAGGCATGTGCCCTTGACCGAGAATTGAACCTGAGACCCTTTGGTGAGTGGGCCGATGCTCTAACCACTGAGAACGCTGGCCAGGACTAGAGCAAGTTACTTTTAATGCTGCATGCGTTATCTAGAAAACAGACTGCTGAGGGTGCCCATCTCATGGGGCTGCTGTGGAGATGAAATGGGATAATATGCATATGGTGCGCTTAAACCATAACTGGCTTGCAGTATGTTTGGCCAATGTTGACTCCTACTCCATCACCATTACCACTCTTCTGGATGACAAAGGGCCTCAAGCAACAATCCCAGGGAGGCCTCTTGTCAGTATTCTGGGAGCTGTCAACCTCCACTGCCCCTCCCACCTTGCAGGGTGAACTCCCTTACCTCCGGGGTGTGCCATCCTCGAAGGGTGGGATGATGACCACCTTGACGGTGACGGAGGTGCGCAGCAGGTCGATCATCTGGTCGTGGGTCAGTGTGACCACAGCCACCTTGCAGATCTCCACCAGCCGGCTGCCTTGCCGGAGGCCAGCCTGCCAGGCAAATCCATAGTCTTCTACCTCAGCCACAGTCCCGTCGTACTTCACGTGGAAGCCCAGCTGCCCAAGCCCATTCCGCCGCAGAGTCATGTCCACCGTCTCCCAGCCGTTGGTCATCACCTGCAGGCAACAGGTGGGATCTAGCTTCACAAGCTGTTTGGGGTCAGCTCTTGTGGATGACACCTGATCAGATTCCTTCCTTTGAGGCCAAAGACCCAGCTGATCCCCATATAACCTCCCAGGTGATGCCAGGGTGCAGGAGCACAAACACCCACCTAGTCCCAGCCCAGGATCCTGACTTTTGGAGAGAAAGTATGTGGCTCATTACCTCAGAGAGAGGCAGCAGTCACTAGCCAAGCCATGATCTCTAAACATATATACATGTGAGGTTCCAAGGAACAGAACCCCCGGTCCTTTAGCACATCCTCTTCTTGGGATAAAAAGATAAACTTAACAAGCTATGGCTATTAAGCAAGTTCCATCAAGATCTGTCTGCCCTTTCCTAAATCTCCATTAAGCAAAGAGAATGTGATGGTTTAAATTTCCTGTGAGAAGTCAACTCCTGGCTAGAAATTATCCTATTCAATGTGCCTATAAGAGTGGTGGCTTTCACACTTTTCTGACCATGACTTACAGTAAGAAAGAAATTTATCCCACAAGCCACACTACACATTTACATATGTACACATACATCCATACACACAACAATCTTCCTTGCAATCCAAATTGATCACATTTGTGACTGTGGTTAGCAAGAAGTGAGAGTTTGGCCCTAACTGGTTTGGCTCAGTGGATAGAGCGTTGGCCTGCGGACTGAAGGGTCCAAGGTTCAATTCTGGTCAACGGCATGTACCTTGGTTGCGGGCACATCCCCAGTAGGGGGTCTGCAGGAGGCAGCTGATTGGTGTTCCTCTCATCGATATTTCTAACTCTCTATCCCTCTCCCTTCTTCCCTGTAAAAAAATCAATAAAATACATTAAAAAAAAAAAAAGAAGTGAGAGTTTGGATAGAAAAAACTTACCTGAAAATGAAACTATATCTGTTTGGTTCCTGATTTGGACAGTGAAAATTTGGGAAGTAGGGCAACATCTAAGATGGGAACGCCACAAAAGAGTGGAAATCCTTACTCACTGGGGTGTACTCTGATACTTTCTATTCTTTCCTATTCTATCCTTGGAAATTTTTGATTGAGATCCCGTAATTGATTTCATTGCCTAGCCTGTTTACATAACAATAAGATGTTATTATTAATTCTCTACATACGATAATAACAAAACTTTTTAAGGGTTTATATGTTTTAGAGATAAATATTAAAATGACAGGATGTCTAGGATTTGTTTCAAAATGATTAGGGGGAGGGAAAGAAGACATAAGGTTGGCCATGGCTAATGATTATGGATGAGGCTAGGAGTTCATTATGCAAATCCTTTTACTTAAAAAAAAAAAAGTCTAGTGCTTCCCTGGCCAGGTAGCTCAGCTGATTAGAGCATTGTCCCAATATGCCAAGGTCGTGGGTTCAATCCGTGATCAGGGCACATATAAGAATCAACAAATAAATGCATAAATAAGTGGAACAACAAATCAATATTTTTCTTTATGTCTCTCTCAAATCAATTAAAAAATTGTTTAGAGCCTCAAAGAGAAAAGTATGACTGGATCTATCCTGATCTATTACTTCTACTTTGGGAGTCGAAATTTCTTCCCTTTGAAGCAGTCACCCTTGTGTCCAAAGAATTTGGCTGTGGATTATAGAGACAAGTCTGCACGTCTGTGTTTGTGCCCGTGACCAATTAGGCCACACCAGCCCTGGGAGTCCTGGGGAGGATCCAATCTTCTGGGGGGCCCAGGCAGCTCAGACAATGCTGCAGCAGAACTGCTAATGGCCTTCAAACTCTATTCTCCCCTCCTTCCCTTTAGTAATAAGACTCCCCCACCCCCCCCACCGCAAGTCAGAGTTCTGATGGGTACAGGGCCACCTAGTTGGGGACCACATTTCTCAGCTTTCCCCACAGCTGGGTGTGGACATATGACTTCGCTTTGGCTATCAGGATATGAGTTGAAGTGATGGAACTTCTACTTGTGTTTTTAAAAATAAAATTGCTTGTTCTCCATGCTCACACATTCTCCTTCCCAGCAGACAGGGATGTGGGTATGGAGTGACTGAAGGAAAAGGAGAAACCATAAAATGGAAGGGATGTGAGCCCTGTCCTTGACAGCCTTGACAGCCTTGACCAGCCTGAGCACTAAGCACGAGAGTATTAAACGCCCACCTTATTTCAGCTACGAGCAGCTCAGTCTACAACTACCCACAACAGTTACTTTGGATCATTTTGGACAGGAGCTGGTAGGACAACTGTCTCAGTGTCCTGAAACTGCTGTGCCTGTTCCCTTTGCTTTTGTAACAAACCAAAGAAATCACTGCCCGAAGGAGAGATCCATTCCTGAAGTTTACAAGGTTCCAGAATGGTCCAATGGCAGAGGGAACACCTTATGAGACCAAACACACAGATCAGTTTGAAGGAACCTCTGCCGTGTCATGCGGCCACACTGCCCCAAGCCCCCCTCTGAAAGCTCATTTTCCTGAGGACTGATCTTTGTGTACCAGGCGCTAGGTATGCCTTTGATATGCCCAATTTTGCTAGTATTAATAATTTGCTTATTTTATTGGGTGTGGAAACTTGAGGCGATGTCAGTTCCTCCAGGTCTGACTCTGGAACTCCAGCTTTCAGTCACTGTGCTGTATTCCCTGCTGCTCCCCCTGCTGTTTGCTCTTTTGTTTCTTTGTCCCTTGCTCTTCACCAGGATGATTCTTATTTATTGCTCTAGTCACAGTATAAAAGTGATTTCCTCATGGAGGTGCCCCCAACCCTGGGGGCCAGGCTCACAAGCTGGGGTGCTTGGTGGGTAATGTGAGATGAAGGTTGGTGGAACCATGGCCAAATGGTATGCTTCTTGTATCATCTAAAGGGGGCACCCAACACCTGCTACGGCTGACTACTGTCCTGTGCCATTTTTAAGAGAAGCCAGAGAGCTATATTCATATAAAATCCTTTGATGTTAAGGTTTGGTACCTAATTGAATATGTCTGGGGCTGCAGTCACCCTGCATGTTGAGACTGTCTCCCATGATAGGTTCCCCTGGCACCCTCAACACGCCTCCTGGTATTTAGGCCTCAGGTGGGAGCACCAGGAGGGCAGGCCTGGGCCCATCATAGTCACTGCTACATCTCAGCATTGCTCCACCAAGGGCCAGGCACATAATAAAACTTCTTGATTTAGCAAAAGAAGATGTCCGAATCCCAGTTCTGTGGGGAGGGAGGGTGTGGACTCCTCACCCTGAAGGACTTAAGAAGAGAGACTCACTGTCATGAGTTGTTTCAGATGGGCCTGCCCTTCATAGAAGATGGCTTATGCCATCACTACCTGGCCACCTGGATTCTCAGTGGGCTCTGGGGCACTGAGATGGTGAGGAGGGCTGCGGAAGTGTGCTCTAGAAGCACCACACCCACAGTAGGCACGAGGTGGGCATGGGACGAAGTGGCACAAAGAGGATGTGGGGAGGAGAAACCAAGATGGCGGCATAGGTAGACATCGGAAATTGCTGCCTCGCACAACCACTTCAAAAATACAACTAAAAGACAAAACGGACACCATACAGAAACACAGGAAGGCTGGCTGCGTGGAAATTCTACAACTAGAAGGAAAGAGAAAAGCACACTGAGACTCAGAGGAGGTGCGGAAGTAAAGTGCAGAGGTACGGAGGCGCGCTCGGAAAGGGCTGGCAACTGAGGACGTGGTTGTCTTTTTCAATCGGGAGGGAGTCTCAAGCTCCCGACTGCTCTGAACTCCAGTTCCAGGCGAGTCTCTGGGGACCCAGACTCATATGGGGAGAAACTGGACTGTCTGGCATCGGTCGGAACTCGAGGGCGGCTTTCTCTCAGAGGTGCTTGCAGCGATTACCGGGACACTGAGACTCGGGGCCTCTTAGGGTAGGACTGAGGATCAGCCATAGCTGTTTGCTCCACCCTGTTGCTTCCCTGAGACCCCACCCCACCCAAGCTGTGCCCAGAGGCTTTTGCATATGAATGACCTGGCCCTTTGCAATCTAAAATTACCTAACAAACTGCAGCTGGGTCAGAGAGACACAGAACATCCAAAAGAAGGCCCAAGGCCCCACAGCAGCTTGCATTGCTTCACAGCTGGGCCTCATCTGGGCACCTCCAAACCCCAAACAAAGAAGAGGAATCTGCAGATCTCTCCGTAGCTCCTGCTGGGTAGCCTCAGGCAGAGGCTAAATTAGCACCTCCTTAGAGATCCAAGAGCCAGTGTACCCAGTGGTCAGAGTGGGACCATCCAGATTACAACTCCTCAGATCCATAAGGGACACACTCAGGGGGCAGACTCAGTAAGCACCAAAGCCCCATTGAAGCAAGTCTCGCCCCATAAGGGTGTCTCCAGCACAGAACTTCTCCCACCATAGAGACAGTTGGTCTCACAGCCAATTGGCCTGGAGGTCAATTCCTCCCAGTGATACCTACAACAATCAAGGCTTAAGTACAACAAGACTGTGCACACAGCCCACAAAGGGATGTACCAAGAGTGTCCACCTCAGGTAATTAGGGAGGCTGAGCCACTGGGTCCTATAGGACAACTAGCACAGAAAGCCACTCTATCAACACAGAGAATCATAAAAAATGCGGAGACAAAGAAACAGGTCACAAATGACAAATGGAGGAAAGCAAACTACTAGATATAGAGTTCAAAACGACACTTATAAGGTTTTTCAAGAATTTTCTAGAAACAGCCAATAAATTTAGTGAGACCCTCAATAAATCTAGTGAGACCCCCGAGGATATGAAAAAGGACCAACTAGAAATCAAGCATACACTGACTGAA